ACAAGTATATTGATTTTCAATAAATCTTTATGACTTGAACAGCTAAATCCATGATGTTAAACGTTTCGTATACTAAACGTTAGCATGGGGCAGAACTTTATAAAAACCAAACAAATTCTAATGGTTTTCTGATAATTACTTAATGAGTTGTTACTCTTAATCGGATTTTATTGTATTATAAATGTTTCATTACCGAAAAAAGTAAAAATATGAGACAACTCTTGTTGTCTGCCCGGACGATATATCTGCTGTGGGCATATGTTTCGTTGCCTGGCAACCTATCTTTAAAACTTGCTAATGCTTTGATTTTCTGACATCTGGACTACTGCAATGGCCTCTATGTCAATCTCACAAAAAATACCTTGTTACCGCTTCAAAGAATTCAAAACCTCACAGCAAAAATGATCCTCGGACAGTCAAAATACACAAGTTCAGCAGATGCTCTGAAGGAACTTCACAATTTGCCTATACATGCTCATGCACAATATAAACTACTACTTCTAGTATATAAGTGCTTACACATTCTCGATCCCCAGTACTTGATTGATATGCTTAAACCCAATCCCAACTGATACTTGACCCGATCTTCAAATAGTCAGTCATTATTTGTCCTAACTACAAACAGAAAAACATTTGCAGACAGGTTTTCAGTGATATTGTCCAAACTCCTGTCTTCAGCATCAGCCAACGTCGAAGACAGTTCCGCTCCGAAAACCAAAGTCTGTAGTAAAATCTCAACTAAATGGTCACAAATATTCCTGTGGTTAAGATATGATATTTCCACACAAAAGATGTATTGTCGGGTGTGTTCTTAATCTTTTTTTTCTTTTATTTAAAGATACATTATGGGAGATTCGATAACGAGTTGGCAGTTCTCACTATAATAATAATTTTAAAAAACTAGATAACGTAATGGCAATTTGCTGAAAATTTCATTCAAATTGATCCACTATGAACCGAGAACTAAGCGAATGAAATTTCTGACTAGCCTCGGTCATCATTACAAAAATCAGTACGATAAACAGCATAGTCTTGATTATCCACTTAATCGTTTAATCGAGAAGGAAAGTTATGCAGTAAATCGGCTCACAATCCACTTACGATCGCAAGCTAGCGATGCCATCTAGAGTTGATTATGGTCTGGATAGGTTAATTAATGTCTAATTAATAATTTAGATAACATTTCAGGCCTAAAGAAAGACCTGCAATAAGCAGATTTAGCTCTTGCATAATGTATGTTTAACAATTGATAGAAGTTACTTTGCTTGACACTGCAAAGTTTTACACTCGCTTCCATTTTGAAATATGTCCAAATATCTTTACATGTTATCAAGTGAAAATACTAGCACGATGTTGTTTGAGCTCCCCAAATACGAGTTAATTTATTGATAAGTTTAAGACATGAAATGAAATGAAATGGGGTTTAACGTCCTACTGTTCTGCTCCTAACCTGGGCTAATGAAGACGGGCATACGCCATGCAGTGTACTATGAGGGAAATTTTGCCCGGGCAGCGGCACTATCGCCTACTTTTATATCGAATTCCAACTGTCAAGGGATCTTTTACGTGCACACCAATGTGTACACGGGACCTCGGTTTTTCGTCCCATCCGAACAACTAGGCAGCTGTCCTTATCAGGCACTCTGTCCTCCATCACTGACAAGGGGAAACCACGACGGAAAATCTGGATGAACTTTGTCGGCCAATGCAGGGATCGAACACCCGACCTCCAGGCTAGCGAGCCAGCGTCTTACCCACTCAGCCAACCGTGATCCCCGATAAGTTTAAAAAGTATGTTAATTAATGTACATTTAAATGGCAAAATGCGTTAATCATTCGAAACTACTTTATTTAAACTAGTGAAGCAAAGAAGCCTATTGAATTTCACCAATTTCTGTTTATAACGTCTAGAGTTATGGCCCTTGTTTCACTTTATTGAACCTTGTGAATGCTTGAACGCCAAAAATTGCCACCTGATCTTTGTGAAATTTATATGCATTATTTAAATTGGTGAAACCATGAAGCCTATTGAATTTCAACAATTTCCATTTATTACGTCTCAACTTATGGCCCTTGTTTCACTTTATTGAATCTTTTGAATGCTCTAACACCAAAAGTTATCATCCGATCTTTCTGAAATTCATATGCATTATTTAAATTAGTGAAACGAATAAGCCTATTGAATTTCAGCACAGTTATGGTCCTTGTTTCACTTTATTGTTCACCAAAAGTTATCATCCGATCTGTATGAAATTTATATGCATCATTGAATTTCAGTAATTTACAATTATTACTTCTAGAGTTATGGCCCTTGTTTCACTTTGTTCAACCCTTTAAATGCTTGATTGATGAAAGTTATCATCCAATGTATGAAATTTATATGCATCATTTAAATTTGTGAAACGGAGGTCGATTGAATTTCAGCAATTTCCGTCAATTATTTCTAGAGTTATGGCCCCTGTTTTACTTTGTGAACGGTCTTGCATCTTTTAGCTGCTTTTAAAAGCCTTGTTCTGTCTTTAAAACATCTATAACACATTGGGTGAAATACAAAAACACTGCCGACTGTATCTTTAATATAATATCCTTCGTAATCAGTCCATTTGTATTTAAAAATACTGCAATGGACTGGTCATTTCCATCCAATTGAAACCAGTTTATAGCTCACGACATTTGTCCCACCTTGTCTTTGTAAAGGGTTCTTAAAGCTTGGCACACACTATGCGACAACTTAAGCGACGAGTTTGGCGACAAATATAGCTGTAACATAAGTGGAGTGAGCACACTACACGACGACTTTGGCGATCAAAAAAAAAAACCCCTGTCAAGTGCTTCATCATGTGACACCTCTAAATGCATTTTAGTCGTCATCACGTTGAATACATAATGATGAGGCGGCGCGACGTCTTAGTACAACGCCGGTCGAGTGCTGTGCGTTTATAGTATTCAAAATAACAATCTTAAATTGGGCAACTCTGGTATGTATAGAAAAAAGTCCAGAAATATTCCAGAGTATCTTAAATATAATTAATCCTCTTATTACCAAACAAACAACCAAGATGGGACAACCAATAAGTCCAGGAAAGTGATTGACTGTCACCCTCCGTTTTCTCGCTACAGTTGCTGGGGAAAAAAACACCCATTCAAATTCTAGGACTATATTATTACAATGGTCGGCGGTTTACTCAAATTCGTTGCGGAAATTTAGAGTGAGGCCTGAGCCGATTAATAAGCTGTGGTCTGCGATTTTTCATTTCCGCCAAGGTCGAACCTAGGACTATTTGAATACTTCCGCTTGACTAGTACTGTATAAATCCTAAGACTATATTATTATTTAGTATATTGCTATACAAACGGAACAACCCACTGGATCTACCATGTAGTTGACAGCTCATACATTTAATAAATGCCAAAATTGAAAACTTAATTTCAATTAGTTAGTTAGGCCTAAATTAGATTACCCGAGCCACTTATATGTAATGCAACATTGTGTGTGGTTATGCCCCAGGAGAGGAATAACCAAAAATGATTGGTTTAATAATAATAGGTGAAGTAAAAAATCTGTAAATAGGCGAACAGCCTTCCCAGATTTCTCTCAGCTACTAGTTTCGTTCTTATTCGAACTCTTAAATGAGGATGTGCGGTGGCCCTCTATGTATATAGTGTCGGGGGGGCACCAGAGCACATGTGACGTCACAGATGGACCGGAGTCGATCTTTGGCACCGGAGTCGATTATTCCAAAAAGTGTGCAAAGATATTCGGCTAAAATAATAGGTAAATTTATTTTTCTTGATTGTCGCTTAACTTGTCGCTGAGGTGAGCACATTACATGATTTGTTGCCAACGAAAAATCAATAGCGACCGAGTGCACACACTAGGCGAGTTTTTGATTTTTCATCGTCTGCGACCGAAATCGCCAATGTCGTCGCGTAGTGTGCGCCAGGATTAACACTGTGTAAGTCAACAATACAAGTTAATTGAGTCTTTGTGGCCATTTCGTGTAGATCATATAACTGCAATGTGTTACTAGTGGAGCACGCCATTTTGTGTTCACCAACAACACATGCGAATGTAAACAATAATGTGATTGGTCAATTGTGGCAAAAACAATCATGAGACGCAGAGAACAACTTTGAATTCTGTCCAGTGACTTCGCCAACTATGAATTTTACTATCAATAAATAATCCGGATTTCAAAGAAGAATATCATCGGAGAACTATTAAATTTTTTGTCGAATATAACAACAAACGATTATCACTCTATTATCCAAACACTGATGAAATTTCTTCTAGACCGGATTTGTAGGAACAAAAATATTTTTGCAACGAGAATTTGTGCCAATGGAATGCGGCCTAGTTAACAGGAAACTAATGATGTTATAACTTTTATATATTACAGGAAACTAATGATGTTATAACTTTTATATATTACAGGAAACTAACGATGTTGTAACTTTTATATATTACAAGAAACTAATGATGTTATAACTTTTATATATTACAGGAAACTAATGATGTTATAACTTTTATATATTACAGGAAACTAATGATGTTATAACTTTTATATATTACAGGAAACTGATTATATAAAAATTCTCCATCAGTGTGTTGTATGTGATGAGATTTTTCAACACTTTGATGATTTAGAAAAACACAATAAAATACATGTTAAAGATGTGAAAACTGCTGATGTAGATGAATATAGTCGTGTTGAAGAGGATAAAACTGATGATGTAGATGAATATTGTCATGTTAAAGAAGGGAAAACTGATGATGTAGATGAATATTGCCGTGTTAAAGAAGAGAAAACAGATAATGTAGATGAATATTGTCATGTTAAAGTAGAGAAAACTGATGATGTAGATGAATATAGTCGTGTTGAAGAGGATAAAACTGATGCTGTAGATGAATATTGTCATGTTAAAGAAGGGAAAACTGATGATGTAGATGGATATTGTCATGTTAAAGAAGAGAAAACTGATGATATTGAAACTGTTTACCAATGTAATCTATGTGATGATGAATTTAAATCTGACATTGATTTAGAAAAACACTGTGAAATACATGTTAAAGATGAGAACATGGAACAGATTTCACAAAATAATGAGACACATTCTCAGAGACCAACAGACATAAAGACACCTGAAAAAAGTTATAAATGTGATGTTTGTAATAAATCATTCACTGATTTAAAAAAACACTATGACTATGTTTTTCAGCAAGGACAAACAGGAATACAGGCTTATAAATGTGGTTTTTGTGGTAAATCATTCGCCTCGAAAGGTAATCTAAAGAACCATGTCAGGAATCACACAGGTGAAAAACCTTATAAATGTGATGTTTGTAGTAAATCATTCACCTTAAGAAGTACTCTACAAACACACATGAGAATTCATACTGGTGAAAAACCATATCAGTGTGATGTTTGTGGTAAATCATTTTGTCAGAAAAGTAATTTGCAGCACCACATGAGAATTCACACTAGAGAAAAACCTTATAAATGTGATGTTTGTGGAAAATCATTTAGTCAGGGTTCAACTCTACAGATACACATGAACACTCATTCCGGAAAAAAACCATATAAATGTGATGTTTGTAGTAAATCATTTAATCAGACTGGTCATCTACAGGGACACATGAGAATTCATTCCGGTGAAAAACCTTATAAATGTGATGTTTGTAGTAAATCATTCTCACAGAGGAGTAGTCTACAAACACACCTGAGAATTCATACAGGTGAAAAGCCTTATAATTGTGATGTTTGTAGTGAATCATTCAAAAATAGACGTCATCTCCAGAACCACATAAGACTTCATACTGGTGAAAAACCTTATAAATGTGATGTTTGTGATAAATCATTCAGAGAAAAACGTTGTCTACAGCAACACACCAGAATTCATACAAAAAAAACTATTAAATTGTGATGTTTGTAGTAAATCATTCAGCCAGATTAAGAATTTGCAAAGGCACATGAGAATTCATACAGGAGGAAAAACCATATAATTGTGATATTTGTAGTAAATCCTTTACAGAAATGTGTCCTCTACAGAACCACATGAGAATTCATACTGCAGAAAAACATTTTGGATGTCATGTTTGTGGTAAATCATTTACTGATAGTTGTGGTCTTTACCAACACAGGAAAACTCATATTGGAGTAAAAACCTTATAAATGTGATGTTTGTGATAAATCGTTTACTACCAAGAGGAATTTGCAGCAACACTTGAAAATTCATACTACAGTGTAGGCCTAACCAGCGTAGCAAACATGAAGACAAAAACATTTATTGTACCGTATTTTTCGGTGTATTAGGCACACTTTTTTTACCAAATATTTTATTTTCTAGAAGGGGTGCGTCTAATACATAGTATTAAGCAAATCTTGGCTTTTCTGTGTGTCAACATCGAGGTCTGAAGTTGATGATATATCGATAACATTTTTCATGCAATAAAGATGACGGCTATTTCACATACCGCTATTCCGTATACAGTTAGTCATAAACAACAATATGGGTCAATAGCAGTTTAGTGTTAGCTGTATTAAAATATCTGCAAAGTTATCGTAAATATTTCTGTTATTCCTACGTATTTGATGACATATATTTCTGCTATTCCGATGTCGTCATTTTTCGTACAATAAAGATGGCGGTTATTTAAGATAAGGGCTTTTCCGTATACCGTTAGTCATAAACGACAGTGCTAACAATATCTGCAAAATTCTTGTTAATATTTCTATTATTCCTACGTATTTGATGACATATATTTCTGCTAATCCGTTTAATGTGTACCAGTACTAAAAAAAATTAGCCATTATTGGCAATCCAAACAGCGTCTCCTCAATAGTTACATGTATGTCAGTCAAGTTGACGAAAAGGCGGGGCTTATGACAGACAAGAGTTTTCATTGGATTTTAGAAGGGTAAAATCCATTGACCACACGCTCATTATACCAAAGGCTATGGGTATTGTCTTTTACAATGACAGCGTTAATGGGCGGGATTACAGTTAAACTGGCAGAATATATCGAAGAACAGAACAAATTTAAGCCATCGAGTAAATTATATTTTAATGACAAAAATTAAAGATACATTATGCGAGATAAGATAAAGAGGTGGCAGTTCTCGCTATAATAGTTAAAAACTAGATAGTGTAAAGGTAATTTACTGAAAATTTCAGTCAAATTGATCCACTATGAGCCGAGAAAGAAGCGGGTGAAATTTTCGCATAGTCTCGTTCATCATTACTAAAATCATTAATATAAACAGCATAGTCTCGATTATCCACTTTTATTGATTTAAAAGCGGAAATTGCAAATTTTCTAAGAAAGTCAAAACGTAATTATTTTTATGTCTTTTGCTCAATAGGTTGTCAACTCACAATTATACGATCATAGGTGTCATTCTCACACTTAAAACTCACTTACACAGGAAATAATAACACAATTACCTCCCTTGTTTTCTATTCTTCACCATGGAGTAGCTTTTTTCAAACGTTTGAAAATGAAGAGGAAAATGATATTTTTGCCAATTTCTCAGCTGGCAATAGTGAATTATAGGATTAATAGGATTATTCTTTAACAAGGTAGGACTGTTTATGGATACCATCTATTTTCAGGCTTTATTTTAATAAATTTTAAAAATATAACTTAAAAATTTGCAATGTCCGCTTTAATTATCAATAGCCGTTAGCGGCATATAGGAATCTAATCCAGCCAACATCGAAGGCTAGCCTTGACATCGAGAGTTTATTATGGTCTGGATAAGTAAATTAATGTCTACTTGATAATATAGATAACATTTCAGGCCTAAAGAAAGACTTGTAATAAGCAGATTTTGCTCCTGCATAATGCATGTTTAACACGAGTATAATAAAAACAAACAGGTTCATCAGTATAGCACAGCATAGTTATAGGCACAGTATAGATATAATAAAATATGGTTATAATAAAAACAAAATATACAGGTTCTTTGGTTTATAGATCAAAGAGTTTTAGCACAGTATAGCACGGCACAGTTATAGGCACAGTATAGATTTGAGATATCACTTTTTTTTATTTTAGAGTTATTTTATATGGATATCTGCTTTTGTAAAACCACTAAATTCTTCTTCTTCGTCCTCTTCCTCAAAAATACGTAGAATGTCGGCCACTTCAAGTCCTGGGACTTTTTCGTCGGTATAATAAATGTCAATGTCATATTGAGTATTGTCTCCGTTGTCTTCTTCTTCCACCACCCTTCTTTTATTTGCTAGTTCCTTTTCTACCATTTCATCCCATAACAGATTGTCTTCAGTCCCATCCATAGCATTTGATATGCAACATTTCTTAAATGATTTAATAATCATTTCTGGATTAATAGACTTCCACGCCTCTAGTATCCATGTGCATATAACATTTAATTCGGGTTTTCGTCTGGCGCCCCTTTTCATATATGAATGTTTATCACCTGCCATCCAGTCGGACCACATCTGTCTAAGTTTTACTTTCATTGGTTTATTTATGGATACATCTAATGGTTGAAACATACTGGTCATACCCCCATGAATTATGACTAAATCGGTAGAGTACTTTCTCTTGGGGTCTGTCTTTATCGAATCAGATCAATGGCATCTAAAAGCATCTAATACAAGAAGGCCCTTCTTTTTTCTCAAAGCTCCAGGTCTCTTCCCCCATACATTTTCAAGCCAGTCAGCTGTTAAATTATCGTCCATCCAACCCTTTTCCTGTGTCTTTACTATAATGCCCTTTGGAAATATCATGCCTTCAGGTAGGGTCTTTCTTTTAAATATGACGTAAGGTGGTAACTTTCCGCCATCTGCTGTACAGGCCAACATCACTGTGAATCTGTTCTTTTCGTTGCCGGTTGTTTTAATGTTGACTGTCTTCTCTCCTGTTTTGTGGATTGTTCTGTTACTTGGTAAATCAAATGTCAGTGCGGTTTGGTCGGCATTTCCTATCTGATCCAGTGTGTAAGCATGCTTGGATCTTAGATTAATGATGAATTTTTGAAAACGGGTTAGCTTGTCGTCAAAATCTTGGGTCAGTTTCTGTGATATATGTGTTCTTCTACGAATGGATAAGTCGTGTCGATTCAGAAATCTGTACACCCAACTTGATGTTGCCTTGAAACTTGCATATTCGGCTTTGCCCTTTGCCAACAATATTGCCTTTAGTCTAACTAAGGCCCTTCTTTTTTCTCAAAGCTCCAGGTCTCTTCCCCCATACATTTTCAAGCCAGTCAGCTGTTAAATTATCGTCCATCCAACCCTTTTCCTGTGTCTTTACTATAATGCCCTTTGGAAATATCATGCCTTCAGGTAGGGTCTTTCTTTTAAATATGACGTAAGGTGGTAACTTTCCGCCATCTGCTGTACAGGCCAACATCACTGTGAATCTGTTCTTTTCGTTGCCGGTTGTTTTAATGTTGACTGTCTTCTCTCCTGTTTTGTGGATTGTTCTGTTACTTGGTAAATCAAATGTCAGTGCGGTTTGGTCGGCATTTCCTATCTGATCCAGTGTGTAAGCATGCTTGGATCTTAGATTAATGATGAATTTTTGAAAACGGGTTAGCTTGTCGTCAAAATCTTGGGTCAGTTTCTGTGATATATGTGTTCTTCTACGAATGGATAAGTCGTGTCGATTCAGAAATCTGTACACCCAACTTGATGTTGCCTTGAAACTTGCATATTCGGCTTTGCCCTTTGCCAACAATATTGCCTTTAGTCTAACTAAGGCCCTTCTTTTTTCTCAAAGCTCCAGGTCTCTTCCCCCATACATTTTCAAGCCAGTCAGCTGTTAAATTATCGTCCATCCAACCCTTTTCCTGTGTCTTTACTATAATGCCCTTTGGAAATATCATGCCTTCAGGTAGGGTCTTTCTTTTAAATATGACGTAAGGTGGTAACTTTCCGCCATCTGCTGTACAGGCCAACATCACTGTGAATCTGTTCTTTTCGTTGCCGGTTGTTTTAATGTTGACTGTCTTCTCTCCTGTTTTGTGGATTGTTCTGTTACTTGGTAAATCAAATGTCAGTGCGGTTTGGTCGGCATTTCCTATCTGATCCAGTGTGTAAGCATGCTTGGATCTTAGATTAATGATGAATTTTTGAAAACGGGTTAGCTTGTCGTCAAAATCTTGGGTCAGTTTCTGTGATATATGTGTTCTTCTACGAATGGATAAGTCGTGTCGATTCAGAAATCTGTACACCCAACTTGATGTTGCCTTGAAACTTGCATATTCGGCTTTGCCCTTTGCCAACAATATTGCCTTTAGTCTAACTTCTGTCGACGAAACGGGCAAACCTTCTTGACGCCTGTTATTTACATAGTCAACCAATTCACTCTCAATTTGAGGATTACGTGCGGCGCTCCACCTATTCGCTTCTTTACTAGGTTTCATGTCAGTAAGTTTGCCCTTCATCGCCCTCCAACGTCTCCCGTTCGACTCCCCAAAACTAAATCCACGACCTGCGGTCCTATTACCGTGCGCTTCAGCAGAACTAATTACTCTCAACTTCTCCTTAGCGGTATAAGCGGTTCGTCTCGTAGCCATTCTGAATAAATAATTTCTAAGAATGATGGAATGTTCAATGGTATTTAATATACATTAATTAATTGCTTTTAGTTTTAACATATAACTGTTTTAAGTTACCAATGGTTTTCATTCAACATGGATTCCGTGATTGACCCATTGTTATAATTTACCGGTATAGTTAATGATCTACCAGTGATTTGTTACCGTTTCCTTGATGAAGTTGTTTGTACATGTAGTTAAACAAAATCATTGTTTCTTTGATTGGTATTAAAAATGCTATTGTATTATTTTACTGATAAATCTAAATGGCTACAATCTGGGTATTGTCATGACGGTGTAGTGGGCGGGGCAACAGACGCTATCGTTTGATTGTCAGTTGTTTGCATAACTTGGAGTAAACGGGAATTGTTGTTTCTCTTTTACCGGTAGTCAGGATTTAAAGTAGCTAAGTCTCTAACTCAATATCATCCAAAATCTTCAACATTGGAAACACGAATTATTTGTCAAATTAAATCAACATTCATGTTGTGATCTTACCGGAAAAAGATGGGCTTTTGATATCCAATATTTAAGACAAAATAAACATTTTACCATTGGTACACAAATCGTGTACCATAATGCGCTTCAGCCCCAGTTGTATCAAGAGACTCGAGGGACGAGGCTAGACACAATACACCAAATCAAATGGCGTATGTAGACTGGAATAACCAGACGCTAGAAATTTGCACTCGCTTAAGACTGCTGGCTTATTTCGCCAAACATAACTGATTTGAAATTGGAGTAAAAACGGAAACCATTGAATTTAAATCAGTTTATATACATTCATATTACAGTATTATATGCGTTGCGACCCACTTTTGTTAATTTCTAGGTCCCAAATGTTAGCGATTTAGTTCCTTTAAGTCGTGAGTAGCTGATCATGATAAATTATTTCCAAAGGTATTATTTAATTTGTTTATCATCAAAACC